CGTCTGAAGACATTGTTTTGTTCCGTCGATATAAACTGGCGGTGGCATTTTTCAAAAAATAAATGTTATAAATTTTATTCATTTCCTAAATTTACGTTTTTTAAACGTTATGTTATAGTTGCTTCCGATTTTTCATGATTTAATTGACTTAATACATTTAAAAATGTTAATGAATATATATTTGTATCTTAATAAATTTAAAAATTATTTTCTCATCTCAGTACGTAATTGATGCAACATAGATTTTTTATTTGAATTTACTAAACACAACTTGGAATGTAGAGAACTACTGTACCATACAGGAGGCATGTTTTCACTGCGAGATATCTCGGGCAGTGAACCTTCCGTACGGTGTTGTGTATATATATATATATATATATATATATATATATATATAAAACACATTACGCCATAATAATGATTACATGCTTTAGGATGAAATCATATTACACATGTTATTATAATAGTGGTTTGATTTCTATTAACTATGCTACAGTATATTTTATACAGTAGGAAAAATTTGATAAAACACCAACTTAAGACATAAAATGAAAACTGGAAGTAAAAATACAAATTTTCTGGTACCTGGGATTTTAGCTATGTATGGGGTGCTGTATTTAAATATGAAATATTTCATTTTTTTTATCACTTATACTTTTTGATAAAAGTGTGAAAAGAGAAGTAAAACCGCATGCTAAGCTCAATCCGATTTTAGCTCTGGAATACAGATCGAAGTAGATAAAAAGCGTTCAAATCGAAGAATTATAAATCATTCTCATGTAATTTACTACATATAAGTTACAAGAAAGTCGGCCTACTGATGATTTGGAGAGATCCTAAAAACCACACCTAGGACTATTATTTCTATCCGGTAAATATTACTTGAATCAATCGAAACAGACTTAGCAAGTGGACTTATACTGATTAAGTCTCTGCAAACGCCTGGCGCATCACTCAGAGGAAGTACCGATCCCAGTATTTCACCAGCTTCCAGAGCTATCTGAGGACGATATTCTATAATCACCTTACTGGTACTAATTAGGGTGACTGCGGTTATTATGGGATGTCAACAATTCTTTAAAGTTTCAAACAGGATGAGTTAAATGACCTCTTTAGAAATTTTAATCTGTCAAATAAAGCTTCTGAATTGTTGACCTCCAGATTGAACGATAAAAATTTACAAGAAAAAGGAACCAAAATTACTTTTTACCGTACAAGAGAAAAGGATCTACTACTATTCTTCTATCAAGAAAAACATCTTTTATTTTATCAGGATATTAAGAGAGTCCTGGAAAAATGAGTCTTCCTGAAAATTGTTCAGAAGATTGGCGGCTATGTATTGATAGACCAAAGCGAAGGTTGAAATGTGTCCTTCTACATAACGGGAACAAATATGATTCAATACCAACTGCTCACCCAGCTAAGGTGAAAGAAACATGTAGGACCATAGCTTTGGTCTTGGAAAAGACATCATATCATGAACATGGATGATATGTGTGAAATTAAAAATGATAAACTTTCTGCTCGTACAACAAAGTGGCGATACCAAATATCCTTGTTTTTGTGCTTCTGGTATATCAGAGACAAAACATGCCACTAGGTTATACACGTGTGGCTTAATAAAGAAGACATGATCATTGGAGAAAGTAACGTTACTAACAAATCTTAGCTGAACGAGAGAAAATCTTTCCTTCACTGCATATCCAGTTGGGCCTTATTAAGAATATGTAAAGACTTCAAGAACAGGTCATGTATGCTTTGCATTTAGAGGATTGAATGCTTCAGAAATAAAAAAGTTCATTAAGAACCAAGCCTTCGTATATTCTTCAAATGAGTCTTAGCGAAAAACCTGGACTTCATTTGTTGCAGTTGTCAGAAATTTCTGGGTCAATGAAAAGCATTAAGCCATGTTGAACTGGTAAACGATATGTTTAAAAATTTCAAATCCATTGGTTACAACATATGTATTAAGGTGCATTATTTATACAGCCATCTGGCCTCCATTTTACAGAAAATTTAGATGACAGCGAGGTGAAAGATTTCTTCGAGATATTGAATTTATGGAGGACCGCTATCAAGGAGGATGGGATATGCACTTGTTGAAAGTTTTTTTCCTGGAATTTAGAACTATTCCAAGATATACTCGAGAAGGTCAGGAAAAAGATGCTTCCGAGGTGCTGAGTGACTAGTTGGTTCCATTGATGACTTACTATCTTTGTATAAATAATAACATTAATATATATTAAAAATGTATTTATAATATCATAATACTTGTGTAATTTAATTATAAAAATTTCTTACTTAATATTTAGATTTGATTCATGGATTTAACCTATTATAAAGTAAATTGTACATTTCACTTAGTGTTGTCCAAATGCGAGACCAAGACGAGTTTTGGTCTAGCGCAAGAATCTCGCAGTTACCTATTAGCTTATTACTATAGAATGCTATGGATTGAACATATCATAAGTTTTTAAAATTATTATTTAGTGTTGAAAACAAGTTGTAATATCCTGAAACCAAGCACACCACGTACACTTACCTGGAACTTGCAAGGACCGACCCTATACCAGGCTCGAGGGAATGCTGAGTGTAAAAACCAGTAACGGGCTAAGTAACTGGTTCCTTTTAGGGTATGACCAGTTATTGTGGAATAATACTGTGAAGTTAAGAACCTAGGGGAACCATCCTTGCCCCACTCTGAATATGTGGATATAATACGCCGAGAAGGAAGAAAAGAGGTCTTATGTGGATTTTCGGCCTGGAGGATAGGTCAGATGTTTTCTTCCGGCTTGGGGACTGTAGCCTTGGCCTTACATAGACCACACAGAGGGGCGTCTTGGAGAAGTTTTGGGACCTGACCTTGAAAAGATGACCTCGGATCTGCAGATGCACCAATGAAATCTACCAACTACACCACCTCATATACAATAGATAAGTGTTATTCCCAACAATAAATTTACCAATGTTAGAATATTTTATGGCAATACAATTATCAAACAGTCCATCTGAAATCATGCCGTTAAAGTTAGTTATTAAATTCATTGAATCACGTACTTTATTCTTGTAAATATAATTTATACATACTATTTATTAAACATAGAAATAAATTAAGTTTTTTAGTAAAAGTTATTTTAATTCTGCCACCTATTTATATCATGACGATCATAATTCAATGAAAGCATAATGAACAAAAACCAGCCTTCAAGAAAAGAAATCAAATTCATTAATTCTGGGCCAATCAATATATTATAGATCCAAATTTATTTTACTAATTTTTATTAATTAATTTTTATTAAATATTTCTGGGTAATTATCATCAGTAATTATCCAGTGGTATCCCGAATAAATTTCAAATACCCCAAAACGTAACATTTTTTAATGTCATCCCTTTTGTGGGGATAAGACATAGCAAGAGATATTATTTTTAGAAAGGGGAAACCTTACTAAGCCTGAATGAAAAATTAGAAGAGTTAAATTTAAAAGTATATTTGTTGTACCAATTTTTTAAATATGGTAACTAAAATTGACAAGTATCAGTAACTCTTTTGCATAATATTTATTCAAAAAATCTATTTTTTATTTAACAGTCTTGGTTTCGGTCTTGCAACAGTTAGGTGGTCTTGAACTTGCAGAGTGTAAGACCAAGACCGATTTTGGGCAACACTAATTTCATTGCAACGTTGAATCTAAGAAATTTGACCTAGGCAAAGCCTAACGGCATATTTTAATTCAAGACACCAATTTTATGTTAAATCAGCTTCACATACCCAGGCACAAAAAGTGCTGTTGGCCTGTGTTATCGGTGAAAAACGAGATGTAGAATATGGCGAAATTTTCAGTCACAAATTATTTATCTTGACCAAAAGTTTGATCAGAGAGATTTTTTACAAAGCTACAAAAAAATGTAACGTCAGCTTGAAATTTAAGAACTATGTTTTGATATACTTTACTCAAACGGGGAGTGGATTTAAATAGATAAATTTGGTTGAAATTAATGACCACCTATGAAGAGAAGGATGACCACTTCTACCTAATAATGGTGGTTATAACTTTTTATTTGGAGAAAATTCTGATAAGTTATGAATGTTTTACATTAAAACAGTATGAAACCAATTCTCCATGAAAATAAGTTGTAAAGTGTAAGTCTAACGAGGCCGCACACTTTGTTAGACACAGAGTTATGTTAGGTTTCTTCGACATCGGCACATACTGTGTGTTTTTTTTGTGCAGAAAGGAAAAAGCGGATAGAAATGTCGATGAAGGAGGATCATCCTCGAGTGACCTCTAATTTTAAATCCAAATTTGAATAAAATTGGTCCAGTAGGTTCGGAGAAAATGCGCGGACGGCGAACGGCGTCATTCAAATTTTGAGAAGATGTTAAGTTCTTAAATTTTTTGTTCGATCACAAAGGTTCATTATTAAAAATAATAACCAAAAGTACTTGAACCAATTTACCAAATTACTTTCTGGTTTTATTTTTATATATGTTTCATATATAGAAATTTTAACAACCAACTGACGACATATGAAGTATACAGATTTAAAGAGATTATTATAAAAATAAAATTGAAATACAGGTTTAAATCATCGAGAATTGAAGTGTTACCAATGGGTAGTTTCTCTTAATGTGGTATATGCCATGTTACTTGTTTCATATTTACTTGTTGTATTTATCATTTAATATAGATGTAAATTTCAATATTTTTTTTATACTTTATTTTAAAAGTACAATCTGTCACATTGAAGGGCAATAAGTAATTGTAAATGTTTTCATTCATAACATATATATTCATATATTAGGGAAATAAAAAATAAAAATGAATAAATAAAAAATAAATGAGTAAACTAGGAAAAGTAAATATAAAAATAGAATAACAAACATGAATGAAATAAAAAATAAATCAATAAGTAAAAATAAAATAAATCATCTTAACACATTCATTTCTATATGAAATTTCAAAAATAAAAATAAAATAAAAAAATCATCAAGTATTACCCGATCTGTTCTTTTTGTTGATGCTTATAACCACACTCTTCGAGACGTTACTAAACAGCTTTCCTGTGATTTCTTTTCCTGTGATTTTGGCAATTGTAGGGATCACTGATTCAATCATAGCTGTATCCAAGTTTGTCAAATAATTCATCATATCAAATGCTAATCCAGTAACCGTTCTATTCCAGGTTATTTTGGTATCATTTAACTGTTTGTTAAGCCAATCAATCAATCCTGCTTCTGTATAGCCGAAATTCCAAGAAATCAAAATCAATGTCAACACATAATTCCAAAACATCTCAGCTCCAAATTGATACAAATAATATGCAAAAGTATTATATTTTATACTTTTTAATCCATCATATGTATTATATATTTAGTACTGAAAAACTTGTACTTGATGATGAAAACCTCAGTTCACAACTGTGGTTTGAATGACATTGGTTAGAAAACAACTAAAGTTTAGGAAGATAATACAGACTGTTTATCATCATGTTAACAAAAGGACATAAAAAATTAACTGTCCATTATTCAATGATAGATAAGTTCTCGTTTTATTATCGATTCCAAGTTCGTCGATAGCAATAAGTTTTAATTTCTTTTAGGGCTATTTTAATTCCCTTCAGTGTTTTTATTGCCTGTTGTTATAAGTAAGGTCCGAATAATATTAAAAAAAATAGTATACCACATAGTATGCCTCTTACTTGGCACTCAGGTCGGACTGGGTCAAGAACCTCCTCTACGATTCTTCGCCTCTCAGCTCGGTTTGCTGTGACGGCCCGACTCCACTTGAAACCAAGTTGCCTTAGTTCCTCCTCTATGTCACCGATCCACCGGCGAAGTAGCCTGACTATCCTTCTTCTTTCTCCAGCTTGTCCAAACAGCACTTTCCCTCCGGCATCCTCACCATATCGCTCAACCATCTTACACGGTACGCCTCGATAAAGGTGACAATGTTAGCCAATTAGCTCCCGGTTACATCTGGTTCTCTAGACTCCTCTCTCACATATAGGCCCGTATATCTTGCTCAGGATCTTCCTCTCCCATATTCCGAACATTCTTTCATGTTTGGCTGTCATTGTCCATGTTTCGCTGCCGTGATTTACCACAGGAAATATCTTGGTTGGATACATATTGGTCTTGTCGCGTCTTTCTTGATATATCGCGCAATTCAAGTACCCGTTTAAATCCAAAGTAGCAATGGTTTCCCGCAGTTATTCTGGTGTCAATTTCAGCCTGAACATTGTTTCTAGCTGTCATTAAGGAATCAAGGTACTTAAACTCCTTTTATGCTGGGAAATTATCTGGGTCGATACTTATAGTAGGTGGTAGAGGGACGTCTGCTACTCTTCATGTATACAGTCTTCTGTTCATTTATATGCAGACCTCTGAGCCATTGATGCAGCCTCAAACTTTCGAGTTTGTCCTGATGACATATATACCATTTTCCAAGCTCATACTAAAGAGAATGGTAGCCTCTATGCTTCCTTGCAAGATTCCTGCCGTTATTTGAAACTCCTTGGATAGAACCTCCTGCAGCTTCACCCGGTATTTTGTTTCTCCCATCTTTATTCTTACTAGCCTCGTCAGTTTCCTTTAAATCTCTCAGTAATGTTGACCGATACACTGAGTCATTGATCCGTTTGAAATCTATGAAAAGATAATGTTGATCGACATCGTATTCTATAGACTTCCGCAGCACCTGGCGAACTGTGTATAACTGCCTGTTGCAGACCTTTCTTGCCTAAAGCCTCATTGGTACTCTTTCAATTCTTAGGGATTGCTTCTTCTGACCATATATCAGATATGAGCTGGCAGAGTTCCTATTGAAACGAATCCTACCTATAATAGAATCCTATAACCTTCCTACTCATCAATTCGGATTTCGTTCCCAACATTCCACTGTCCAACAAGGATTCCGAGTAGTTGACCATGTATCCTCAACCCTAGAAAGTAAGCAGTATTGCTCGGGTGCATTTCTGGACTGGGAAGCTTTTGACCGAGATTGCTCTTCAAGCTAAAATTCCACCTGCCATCAGTCCTTATACCTAGTACTCCGATCCTATCTTTCCGACCGCTCCTTCCGAGTTTGCTGTGGCACCGAATTCTCCGACTGTTACTCAATCGAGGCTGGCGTTCCTCGAGGCACCGTCTTGGGCCCCATCCTTTACCTTCTCTTTACCGCTGATATTCCTGTCCATCCCGATACCCTTCTGGCAACTTTCGCTGATGATACTGCTATCCTTTCTTCCAACTCAGATCCTGAAACAGCGTCCGCAAACTTACAAAGGCACCTCTTCCTGATTGAACACTGGTTTAAGAAATGGCGCATCAAGATAAACGATTCTAAATAGGTAAACACATTACCTTCACCCTTCGGTGTAATACCTACCCACCAGTTTATTTTAACTTCATTCAGCTTGCTTTCTCAGACACAGTCCGGCATTTCTCTTAGACAGATGACTAACATAGAATCCACATTCTATACTTAAAAGACAGGAACTTAACAAACGATATGGCCAGCTATATAGACTACTGAATAGAAAATATAAACTTTCTGTTGAAAACAAATTACTGGTCTACAAGACAGACAGTGGTATTTAGTGTTAGTCCTGTGGTTTGAATGTCCACTGCTTCAGGAGCGGTCAGATAGGAACAGTTTAGATATGACGTCGTGGGCAGCGCCAGCGAAATAGTAACTTTAAAAAGCCCGTTCCATCTTTGCCTACTCTGGGCTATTTTTTTCCTTTATGCAGCTCTTTTTGCATCGCTGTTGATTATATCTATCCATCTGCTTTTTGGTTTTCCACGTGGTCTTCTGCCTGCTATTGAGGCATTAATTGTTACGTAGAGGCTTCCAGATAGGTTTCTACGAGCTATATTCCCCGCCCATCTTAACCTCCGTGCCTTTATATGATGGGATATTGATTGACCAGTTTCTGTAAGCAGTTGCTTATTCGTCTTTTTCCCCATGTGTTAGTACTCTGATACCTGACCGCTCCGATTATCGAGCGGAGGATCTTTCTCTCAAATCTTTCACCGCTTTTTTCTAGGGTGCTAGTTAATATCCAGAACCATATAATAAAACTGGCTTTATCATAGCATTGTATACCATTGGTTTGAGATTTCTGGAAATTAAAATATCGGGATTTTAGTAACTTAGAAAGGAAGAAGAAGGCAGTGGATCAGCTGATGCGAAGGTCGTATTCTGAAATCTTCTCTCAGTTTTTGCCTATTTTTCAGCGGAATCTATTTGATTATTTAGTGAATACAGTTGAAGTGTACACCACAGCAGTTGTTATTTACTGTTTGCTACATTTTTAAATTTTTTTTTCTCTTTAATTTTAATTTTTGTCCTCTTATGATATGCGGCATTGCCAGCAAGTGATGTCCAGTAAGGTGCCCACTAAGAGGACTCGGTCAGACGGTGTTAGTACCCCTCGTGATTCACCAGCGAAACAAAGAACTCGTCGCTGATTGCGAGAAATAGCTCCAATATCCACAGTGAAAACTTCAGGTCCAGAACTTCAGCCTCAACCAGGTACCTCTTCGCAAGAAATGGTTGAAGAATATCCTATCTTCACTCCGAACCCGTTCCAAGTGCTTCATAATGACAGAGAAGTAATGGAGTCAGCATCAATATCCAGGGAACCAAGGCCTCCTCCGATATATGTAAAAAATATCAAAAATTTCCAACTACTGTGCACACAACTAAACGAAATCTGCTCCGGCAGTTATTCTTACCTCAACAGGACTATCGACACAAAAATAACACCTGATACTGCAGAAGCCTACCGAAAAATTGTGAAGTACCTGTCAGAAACGAATGCAAATTTCCACACGTACCAGCTGAAACAGGAGAGATCGCTACGAGTGGTGGTAAGAAATTTACACTCCTCAACCCCAACTGAAGTGATAAAAGAAGAACTAGCAATGCTTGGTTTCAAAGTGCGTCAGGTAACCAATGTTCTGAAGGAGAATAAGGAGCAACCAGGAGTAAGTAATAAAGTTCCACTACCTATATTTTTCGTGGATCTAGAGCCATCACCTGGTATTGAGAAGATATATGATATCAAGAGATTGTATTACACTATCGTGAAGATAGAGAAGCCATACCCCAAGAAGGAAATTGTGCAGTGCCACAATTGATAGGCGTACGGCCACACGAAAACTTATTGTCACTATCTGCTGCGTTGCGTGAAATGCGGTGAACAGCACAAATCTGTGGAATGCACCAAACCGTTACAAGATCCTGCAGTGTATGCACTATGCCAGGAGGGACACCCGGCCAACTACAAAGGCTGCCAAACCTATAAGAGTCCTCAAATCCAGATAGCAGAAGAACCGGATTCAAGATGAGACAACCAGACCAAGAAGAGAACCTTCTAGAATTGTTAATAATAATTTATCATACTCCGAACTACTTGGAGGTAAGAACCCAAATAATACATGTGAAGCCGCTGCCGCAGCAACTACCTCAGCCCCAACATCAATATTCTGTTCATCCTAACACACATAATCATCAACAGCCTCAAATTCCTCATATTCCTCCTCCTTCAAATGCAACAGATCTCACCAGTTTGTTAGCATCTTTCCTCACCGATTTCAAATCTCTAATTACTCCACTCATATCACTCCTTACAAATCTCGTATCTCACCTCATCCCTCCTTTAAAAAATCCTTAATGACTCACATCCCAAAACCCATGTCCATTCTCCTTTGGAATGCGAATGGTGTTAGAAATCACGTTGACGAACTAACAGCTTTACTACAAGACAAGAACATTAACGTAGCCCTAATTACAGAAACTCGACTGACCATAAAACAGCATTTAAAAATCCCACAGTATATAACATACCGTACTGACCATCCTGACGGTAAAGCACATGCCGGTACTGCTGTCATCGTACACCAATCCCTCTCCCATAACTTACTCCCATTACCTACTCAAGATTCCCTACAGTCAACCGCTATTGTAATCAAAACCTTCTCCTTTCCAGTCACCCTTGCATCATCATATTGCCCTCCTAACAGATCCATATCCAAAGTACAGTTCAGTTCTCTCCTCAACTCCTTAGGTCATCATTTCATCCTGGGTGCAGACTTAAATGCCAAGCATCAAGTTTGGGGTTCAAGAACCACGAATTCTCGTGGCAGAACATTTCTGTCTGCGCTCAATACCCAACGTTTCAGTCTCCTTCCACCCAACTCACTAACCTACTGGCCCACTGATCCTAACCACAGTCCTTATATCCTTGATTTTTTCATCCACAGTGGTTTAGGTCCCCTCAATCATTCCCTTACCCATCTTGACGAACTTTCCTCAGATCATAGTCCATTAATACTTCAATTATCAATAGCTCCTATTCCTAAACCCTCTTCAGCGTCCTTCACCAGAGGCCCAGTTAACTGGAAACTCTTTTATCAAATCCTTTCCGATAAAATTGA